TGTTCCCAACATGTGAGCTATAGTCTAAACTCCTAGTATTGCCCTTAATAAGCCCTATAGTAATCCCCTATATGGTCCCCTATATAACCCCCCTTGATGGAGTTTAGACTACAGCTCATGTACAGTCTCTCGTAGGGGATTTCTGGTCGAACGATTGGGTGAGCGAGTGTGTCATGTGTGGGGGAATTCGAAAAAGCTTGCCTGAGGGCATAGGGCCGATTTTCAACAACTACCATAATTGTCATAGTATTTGGAAGGATACGTTTGCTTTGGAAGGTCAAAACATATGCCACCCTCAACAAACCTTCTTTACATCAGCCCCATTCTGCTTGATGAGACCCACTTTCAATCCTTGCCTTCCATAAATTCATAAAGCCAAGAATCAGAAGCAACCCTAATCCCGGAACCCTGCACCGTAAACCCCGAACCCTACATCTCCCCAGTATAGTAGCATTATAGTAGTTCCAATGTTCTTTTCCATAATCCCTATATCGTCCCTGAACCCTACATCTGCATCCGAAAAAAAAAAGGTACTCCCACGCCTCCAACCTGAAAACTCATATCCTAAACCCTCTATTTCCATATACTGCATTTATACATACACATTCATACCCACACTCATAAATACATATCTGCATGTATAGATATGTATCTATGTACGTACGTATGTATGTATGTATGTATGCATGTATGCATGTATGCATGTAGGCATGCAGGCACGTATGCATGTGTGCATGTAGGCATGGATGCATGTATGCACGCATGCACATATGCATGTATGCACGCATGCACGTATGAACGTTTGCATGTGTGCATGTGTGCATGTGTGCATGTATGCATGTATGCATGCACGCATGCACGCATGCACGCATGCATGTATCTGTGTTTTATACATGGGTGCGTGCACGTTTTGCATATGCATATGTATATGAGTATGTCTGTGTGTGAAGAAACAGGGGGCCCGAAAACTGTAAGTCCACGTGCTACCTCTTAATCCTGAAGCCTAAGCCCTACACCCTCAAGCCCATATAAACTTACCCTTACCTGGGCTTCTCAAATTTCCTGCATTCCATTATCTCAACAGCAACAATCCGCCCCCAAACGCTAAGTTATGGTCATAAACCCTAAGCCCTAAACCCTTAATCCTGAACCCTAAACCCTAAATCTTAAACCCCAAAGCCTTAATCCTCAACCTTAAACCCAGAATCCTTAACCCTAAACCCCACCCCCTTCCGCCGCCCAGTCGCCGGCGAGGCGAAATCGACGCTACTGACCGGCTCCTGGGCTCCCCTTTAGGGATTTACAAAGCTAAGGGTTTAGGGTTCAGGGGTTAGGGGTTTAGGGTTTTAGGGTTTAGGGCTTAGGGTTTGAGGGTTTCAGGGTTTAGGGATTTGGGGTTTAGGGATGTAGGGTTTTAAGGTTTTAAGGTTTTAGGGTTTAGGGCTTAAGTTTGAGAGTGTAGGATTTAGGTCTGCAGTTTAGGGTTCGGGGTTCAGGGGATTAGTGCTGATGCTCCCCCAAAACCTAGGGGTCCCTTTTTGGTGGTCCCTATAGTCCGGACTATCACATGCTAGTTGCGAGTTTACGCCGACCCTAGTCCACGTGTGTTACGTAGGTTTGCTGGTGGTTAGCAGGGACTGGGAGAAGAGGTCAGGGGGATCTTGCTGTAGGGATCCATGTTTGCATCCTGATAAACTGCCGTTTTGGGGGCTTGAAGGTCTGGGCTTCACATGACATGTGGGATGCTTGCCTGCCTCACTAATGTTCGATGTGGGTTTGGGGTTTGAGGCTTAGGTTTAGGCTTTGGAGTTTGGGGTTTAGGGTTCAAGGCTTCACATGAAATGTGGACTCCACATTGCAAAAGGTCTCTTTGGGTAACACGTGTCCTTTCAAAAGAAGTCCCAGAGTCCAGCAAACCCTGGACGCCAACAAATTAACCCCCAGACCTAAGATCCCTACACCCATGCCCTGACCCTGAGTCTTACTTACTAGTACTAATTGCTACCGGGACACCAGAAGTAATGTAAAGTCATTGCCTGAAACCCCTAACATAAGGCAGAAAGCCATTCTTCGACCTTCTTTGGGGGCCCTTAAGTAGATAGAATATGGCTTTGGATATATATAATAAGATCCCCATATATCCCATATTCTATCTACTTAAGGGGGACTGTAGCATCGGTAGGCAAGGAGCATCTGCAGTGCATTGCGTAGGCCGCCGCAGGATCCGCGAGAGGGACAGCCTGTCCGTAGGCGAGACCCTGTTGAGTAGACGTGGAGGTTTCCCAAATTAGGGGTACCTTTAAAGGGGTTACAGGGGATATATACGGGATATTTAGGGAATATGTAGGGATATATAAGGTTTGGGGACTGGGTTGGTTGGTTTGAGTGGCTAAGGGTTTCCGTTCCGCTCTGTGGTTTTGGGTGTACAGGGTTTAGAGGTGCCGCGAACAGTTCGTTGGCAGTCAAATGTCTGAATTCGATTGACTTACAAATGACCATAAGGGGATCTCCCAAAATTAGGGGTAACTTTTTGGGGGTCCCCATAATAAGGACTATAGTATTTTGGGGTCTATATTGGGGTCCCCCTATTTTGGGAAAGTACCATAAGGTTCGAGGGGTGCAGGTCAAGTGCTTTAGCACTGGGCTTGGTTGCAAACACTCGGTAAGAGACGTTGCTAGGCATCTGTAGGACTCGGCGAAGGAATGACAACCTGGTAGAACGTAGCCCAATGCATGTTCTGTGGCCCCCCTGTTTAATCCCCTATATAGCCCCCTGTAAGGAGCTTAGACTACAGCTCGCAGGCGAACATCAGGCAACTTGCAACCTACAACCTGGAATCCTTTCAGAAATCACAACTCCCCAGATCAATGGCAATCCCGAGAATCCCATACTATAGGTTGACAGAAGTGCGGTTCGTGTTGGCTTCCCTAATATCATACAGTCATTCATATGACTTAGGATACCCACAAAAAGACCATACATACTGCTGCGTCCTTTAAGGCGTTGGATCACTAAGGCTAGCTGGTAGACGCCAAAACAAAGTGAAAAAAAACTGAGGCTTCTACTTTGGTCTCTCGACGCTGAAGATACCGGTTTGGACGGATATGTCTGCGGTGCTGGGCACCTCCAGATCAGGGTTCAGGGTTTAGGGTTGAAGCTTTGGGGTTTTGAATTCAGCCCAAGTCATTGTACGCCTCATTGTGGGGGATTCCTTCAAAAAGTACTACTAATGTTGGGAAACCTTCATTTGCAGCTTGGGATTTTGGGCACTGTCTTATCATTGACTGACAAAATCCTGCAGCAGCTTACTAAACGATAGCCAGGCCGACGGTCATGCAGGATTTAGCAAGCACATCAAGCAAAAACAAAGTGCAAATGATGAAGGAGATTTGTAAGGTTCACGGTCAGGACGCATTAGTAGGCCGCATACCGAAAATTCCCCCGCAGGCTCACACCTTAAAACCTGAAACCTAAACCGTGTACCCCAGTCCTTGAGTCTCTCGACATTATGGATCCCGGCCTATTGTCGCACAATCACCATCCAACTACTCTGGTATAGACCTTTGGGAACCGTAGGAGGTGCTCAGGGTTTGGGGTGTACGGCATAGGAAAACGGCTCAGGCAGGTCCTACATAAATGCGTTTAGAAAGGGTTTAGAGTAAGGGGTTCAGGATTGAATTGGTTTTCCCCGCCTACTCCCCAAAGCCCTACTCCGTGAATGCCACAAAGAAAAAGCACCATTCACAACATTGCTGGCAGATGGTTCCTTGTCACAAATTTACTTCCACCAACAAACCACAAAGTACAGCTACTGGTTTTGTAAGAGGTGGAAGACCAACCACAAAGGTGGTAGAAAAACAACTCTTCACGAGCCATAGTCCCAACATCCCCAAGAACTCTCGACCTACATCTCCACCCCAAGTTTAAGGTTTAGGGCCTGAACTGCTGAACCTCTAAACCTGAGACCCAAGCCCTACACACCCCAAACTCCTACACCCTACACCCCTAACCCTAGAACGCAAGCCCCAACTCGTCTGCACCTTGCTATACCGGGTCCGAAAACCTTGAAACCAAGACCACCTTGACGTCAGGACTGACGAGTTTAGGGTTTCGGGGCCAGCTTCGAGTGTTGGGCGTAAAGGGTTTCAATTTAGGATTCGGGGTTTGGATTTGAGCTCTTGAATAGCGCGTGCGGCTTAGAATTCCAGATTTAGGGCGCAGGGCTCGGAAGCTGCAATCATGGCAGTTTCTCCATGAAGGTCGTAGGAACCTGCTGAATTCTAATACCTTGGCTGAATACCTATAAACCCTAAGCCATGAACCCTAAACCCAAAGATCTGAAACTTGGAAGGCGTACATAAGTCGCACTCCCAAAATCAGGTGTATTTCTGGAGAAGGAAGGTTTAGGGTTTAGTTTAGGCCGTTTTTTATCCGACCGTTTTTCCTGGCAATTAGCTTCGCGAGATGCTCTGAAGAAGGGCCCTGGATACTGCCTGTCATTTCCACCTGCCCAAAAACCTCCTCCGAAAGCCTTTCTGATTCACAGTTGGCGATGCAGCTTTACTGTCCACCACCAACCTCAAAGCCTCCACCCTTTCTCCACACTGCAAACACCATTTTTGACATGGACTCAGCCCTTTACTTAAACATGCCACCTGTTACTACACCAGGCCCGCTCTCACAGACACCATGGACATCTTCAGGAGTCTCAACTTCCATCAAGCTATCTTCATCCGTCCGAATTCGCTGCGGCATGCCACAGCGTGCTCGTCAAGCTTTGTTTGTGTCACCGTCTTAGCAGAAGCCACATCCAGCGCCTCATCTAGACCCTCTTGTGGTAGGTGCACCTTGCTCTCCCACAACCTGTCCCTGCATTGCCACACTCGTTTTGGGCCAAAACCATTGTTGGACCGCCTTCTTTTCCGTACTGTCAGGATATCCAACTACCTCTCCCTGGGCTCTCCTGTCAGGATCCCATCGTGGATGATAAAGTGCTCCTTTAGATGCGCCGGCCGTAGAGTCCCCACTGGAGTTCACACGTCGAACCACCTTCTGCCCGCACCGACTCCAGAATCTCTTCCAAAGTCCTGATTTCAACATCCCATCCTTCGTTATCATCAACCTCAGCCATCTGCGTCTCTCCCGTCTGATCTTTGCCATCTTCACATTGCCCTTCGACTGGTACAGGACGGAGGCCTTCTTCCGTACCCAAGGTGGTCTCTCCCTCTCCAGCCCTAGCCATCGGCACAATATCTTCTTCTTCCTCTCCATTTCTGGCATCGGCCACCAGAATCTGCAGTATCTCTTCCTGCATGATGAACCCCACTTGTGGATGCTCTCCAGCCCTTCTACATCCGCTGCTCCAATGTCGTTGCCTTCCACATCTGTCACGGTGATCTTCAGCCTGAATCACTTGACTGGGCGTTGTTCGTTGTTCTGTCGCCAATTTCCGGCTGATCACCCAATCATCCCAGATTTGGGCTTGTCTTGCCTCGCGTTCTCTTTCCACCTCAGTCCACTGGTGCTCATCCCATTCTCGTTCAACTGCCTTTCTTGTCTTTTGTCTTCGTCGTGTCGACGTAATTTTTTATTTCCTCTGCTGTAGTTTTTCCCAAAGGACCGTTTCTCCTTGCTGGACCATGATTGCCTGTCCTTGCCCTTGAGTCGCGTTCTGAGAGTCCTCCACGTTGAGACTAGACGATCCCAGTCTCCCTCTTTTCAGCGCGTCCGCTCGCAGGTACTGCTCGAACATCTTCCACTCGCGACGGCATCATTCCATACTGGAATCGAAAGGTCTCCACTGCTTCCTTCTTCACCCTCGTAGGTCGCTAGCAGTGCCTACAGTCTATCCACTCTATCATTTGACTGCGAAAATGTCCAAGTATCCAATCCCCCTCCACTTGTCCAATTTTCCTTGGCGACACGCTGCAATCCTCCTCGATTTTTCCGTCTCCTTGCCATCAAGGTGAGCTTGAAGTTGGATGATTTTGTTGTTGTAGGCTATAACAGGCATCCTTCTCAACACCTGCATGTGGCTCACCGATTCTGGCTCTCCCTTTGCAGCAACCCTTTCGCCCCTGCCCTGTGACAGCATGGTTCTTTGGTGACATCTGGCCTTCGGCTGCATCTGGAGAAACACCTTCACATCATCCTCGGCACGCACTTCCAAACAGGTTTTGGCCCTCATCAAGTCAGCACACAACACTCCAAGACATCTTACGAGCCCGGCGCAGGCACGGACTTTGTCCTCATGGGACATGTCTGCAATGGCTAAGGCGATGGTCAGAACGCTTGCGTTGGCAAGTAGGCGCCGGTCCGTAGTCCGCGTAGTTCTGCGTAGGACACATGACCCTTGTTGCATCACTCCAGAATCTCACCTCTGGCCCAAACTGTTGAAGCCTGGGCAATCGTTCCAGGCAGGCTTGTCCATGACATCCTTAATCTCCCAACGACTTCCTTTCTTGCACTCGACCTGCTGAACGTTGCGCGGGTTCACCTGCTCGTTTGCCGTGCGTTGAGGAGGCGCAAAATCGTTGCTCTCTCGCCCGCAACCCCTTGGCTCGCGAAAGTCATGTTCTCGATGCGCCGATCTTCCGAAAGCTGTTCTTCGCCTGGAGCTCCAGCCGGATTATGATGAGGTAGCTCATGGTCTTCACTCATTCCTCTGCGCTCCCTTGGCTTGTGAGGTTCCTGCCCTTGACGCACTTCATCTCCTCGCCATGCCTCATCGTGTTTATGACCCTGACCTTGACGTGAATGTTCTTGCACTCGCCCTTTATAATCACAAGGAGGTTCAGAGTCATTGCTGCTTCGCCAGCGTTGTAGTCCATCATCACCTCGCGGTCCAGTTGGGCGGCCTTCTTCGTTTCCTAAGCGCGTCTGGTTGCCCACCATCACCTTCTGTCCTTGTGCATTCGGCCCTGCACACTGCGGCTGGCCATCTTTTCCTCCATGGATCTGATCTGTGGGCTGAGGACGGCAGAAATTTCAAAATCCCGATGAACAAAGGTCGCCTGATCATCCCTCCCTCCGGGACAGACCGTGGTCCACAAAAGTCACGCAGATGAGCATGTAAAACACGCAGATCATGAGGCCTCTCGCAGCCATGGCAAGCGCACATCACTGATTGGCATAGGAAGTGGGCTAGCTTTCACCGCCACGGTGACCTGCTCACAGCAACGCAGCAACGGTTCAAACGCAGGCGAGCACCTCCTGCACCTAATTGCCCAGCGAAATTTGCCTTCCGGTGGCCCAAAGGACTGCTTCCTGTTTCGAGATGTTCTGCCCATTGTTGTCTGTTCGCAGCCCTTTTTATTTGAAATGGAAGGCGTCATTGATGTCTGTGTCGTCCCCAAAGCTCATCTCTTCCATGCTTCAGCTTCATCATCCTGTGTACCCAAACGCACGTACTGGAAGGAGTTGAGCAGAGTTTGTTGTTGAGCAGTAGGAAACGGTACGCCTACAACCCATGAGATTGCTGCGAAGTTTCAAAGACCACTGTGTTGAAAACGCTTGTCCTCGTCTTCAGCGGCCTCGAGGAGTTGAGTACGTGTAGGATACCATGAAACTTCGCTCTTGCTTTGTCGAACAGCTTCTCCATAGCTTTCTGTTCAGTAGCCTCCTTACATATGGCAAGGTCAAGGCCTGCGAAAACGTCCGGCACTTCAAGGGGGACAATGGTGTCTTCATCGAGTCAGAGCTTCACCTGTTTCGGACCCCTGACACAAAGCAATGTGGATTTGGACGGTTCACCCTCAGCCCATAGTAGGCCAGTTTGGAAGGAGCACGCCAACAAAGGACTGCGCCCACGCATATCCCTTTCCCAGGCGCTTAAATCATCCATAAAACAGGACCCATCGCTGCCCATGCCCTCGAACAAACTTCCTTCACAAGCCGGGATTGAAGAGAGCACATCATCGCGCAACCTGCTGAATAATAGAGGGCTCTCAGCTGCGCCCTGTCTAGCTCCAGAGTTGGGGTCCAGCACAACCTTTTCGCAGAGGCAAGGACCATGACTGAGCTGGCCAACATTGGGACCAAACACATCACTTCAAGGGGGTGGTCCTGAGCAGCCCCTTTGACGACCTTCTGCGCCAGTTTTGCGCGTGCTGTCGCGAGCCCTTTGAAGGTTAAGTTTGAGCATATAGCAATCAGTTCGCAGCTCCCTTGTTCGGTGAGCTACCTGGACTGCCTGCCATGCCATCTCCGCCGTCTGTCTCCCCCTTCCTGCGAACTGCTTTTGCGCTGCGGGCCTCAACTTATCCTCCATCCTGGTGACCAGTAACATTGAGAACACCTTCGTGGCGAGGGAAGCAAGCGCTATCGGTCTCAGGTTTGTAGCAGTCCCCGGAGGAAAACGCTTGGGAATAAGGGTGACAATTGAGGTGTCCCAACTGATCAGGTCCTACTGCTTTGCTTTTTCATTCCAAGTTGAAGAGAAGGTTGAAAGACGCGTCCCTCTGTGATGCCTTGCATCACCTGGCAAAAAGTGGTCCTGTGCATCCTCCCCTCCATCACCATGAAAGACCTGCTGGGGGTGCGCCTTTTGACGCGCTGGTGATTTGCCAGTTCACGTTTAGACATGACGTCATCACCCAGGAGCGCTTGCTCTAGTAAGGGCCTTGCACAATTTCCAGTCCTGGCTGGCCTTGTCGATTCTATCTCCCTTCCATTCAACGTTTTCCTTTCACAGCTGCCCCAAAAATGCTGTCCAGTCCTTGGCTTCCTTGGAGCAGCGAGTAGTTTCCCTGAGGGTTGGGGTGGCAGGACTGGCTCTGAAATTAACACCTGGCTTGGTGAATTTTCTGGCAAGGTCTTCAAGACTGACTTAATCGATACCGGGGGAAAAAGAAGACAACTGGGCCCACCCCTCCAGCGCTTCCTCTCCCCTTCTGGTCTGCTGTCTACATTCGCCACGCATTCAACCCTGTCATGGTCTGTGCCACTTTCCTTCCTGATGTCTTCCTGAATGTCAACATAGCCTTACTTGCTGTTTGCAACGAACCCCCCCCACATCAACTTGCATGTCGGTGACTGTGCCCTTTCTGGAGTAGAAGGTGGGCCGGTGGATCTGGCGCGGTGGTGACCAAAGTTCAGCTGCCTTCTGCCGAAGATCCCCCCATCTGGTGCTCATGGTGCCTGTCGACACTGTTCCCTCCCTCTCAACCAAGTGGAACTGGATGTTGAAATCACCCATGGCATACGCTGTATCGCTCCCTTTCTTAACCACATTGAAGAACTCAAAAACCATCCTGGAGGTCTCTTCCCTTGTGTCATTACTTGGCACATGAACCGATCCCACCCATAGCCTTTTCTTGGTAGTCTTGCGTGGGAGCCGCACCCAGATTTTTCTGCTCGTTTTCTCTTTCCGACAGGGGTGGAAGATGTTCGTTTTGTGAAAAACCCTAACAGCACGATACATCAGCGCACGGTCAAACCTAAGCTACCACGCATTGTCATTACAAATAGATCATTGCAGCGTGCGGACCCCGCATGCAAGCCAGGAAAACCCAAGCTACCACCCATTGTCATTACAAATAGGTCATTGCAGCGTGTGGACCCCTCATGCAAGCCAGGCGCCCCAGGTGGATTAGTTTTGGCTTCCTGGGTTTGGGGTTTGGAGTTAGGGTTTAGGAAACGTCCCTCCCTCTTCTGAGATCTAAAAGGGGAACCCCATGGGAGCGAGAATGTCTACAACAACTGTACACGGTTGAAGAACAGCTTAAATTAGCAACGTTACGGGAAATCAGGTCGTGCTACACTGTTGTTACTTGTTCAGGCTTCTGCCAAAGTTAGAAGACTGCACGATGCTGAGGATTTTGCTGAAGACTTGAGGCTGTAGCTATCTGAGGGTCGAGACCTTGCGGCTTATCTGGGGGTTAGCGATGGATTTTGCTTCAAAGGGCACAGGGCTAGGGCTGAATTAATGAGAAGCATGATACTTTTGGGTGCGGATGTGGGATTTGGCGTAAGTTACTCTTTTCAGAATGAAGACACCTCCGTATTGCAATAGGAACCTCAGATAACGATTTTAGGGAGAATCCCACATGCACGTAACAACCCTCCCTGGCATTGCCCAGAACCACATACCTCGAACCTGGGCTTGGATAATCCTACGCAAAACGTTGTCCCCCACTCTACACATAAGTCCTCAACCATACAAAGTGTCTAAACGGGGCCCTTTGGGGACTCCAACAAAAGAAATGTGGGGATCCTGAGGAGACCACCCTAGAGTCCTGTTGAACAGCTGCCGTATAACTTCTCGACGCATCTGCCACGATGCTTGCTTCTCCCTAAACCCTAAACCAC